GACTTTCAAGCGAGTATGCCACCTTTGCAATTCCCGTGATCCAGACCTTCTAGTTCCCAAGATCATACTGCAGTGAATGCGCAGAGTACATGTGCCAGGACCTTTGACGTCACTATTTTAAAATCTAGTTAACCACAGAGTTTAGTAGCGTGCCTGGCACACGTTCAGTAGTCATTTGTTTTATGAATACCTTTATCTGAGCACACTGCCTCATTTCACTGATAAGGATTTGACAGTCTGCAAGAAAATGTGACTTAGTGATCAAGTCACAGAGTTTTTCAGACACAAAACCAAGACTAGAGCCTAGTACCCCAGGTCCCCTAACATGCTGCTGCCCAATGGCTACTCTATCAATTCAAGGCATAAAACATAAACTTAAGGCTCTATCAGAGATTTTGCAGCTCACTGCTCTTTGCAGTACCATGTAATGGCTCTTAACTAGTGCTGTGTGAACACAGAGTAACTTTGAAGGTGGACACTTTTAACAGTCTTGGCAAAATGCAATGTACTTGCTGATATATCATAAAATTTGATCCACTAAACCCTTATTGATAAGAAACTAGAATTTGGAAAAAGACATCATAGGCCAATAAATAAATTACCAAGTATATGTTTTATCAAATGACAAAGTTTCTTAATAAGAAATATGGTAACGTTTCAAATGTAATAAAGATGACCGTTAGTATTATTGGTATTCATAGGAAACACATAATTGTAAACTGTTCTTGGCCTGACCATTCTGCAATGGTTACTTAAGGCATGCAGGTTTGTTTTGAGCAGGTAAACTTGTTCTCCTGTGTTTATACCGTACATTCTAATCCTGAAAATCAAAGAGATTAAAATTATTATCTACCATCTCTTTCCCTAGCTGGATATCTGGAATTTACACTAAAAATTTCTGCTCCCTGCCATCAATGAGATCATTCAACTCTGAATTCTGGAATTGTGGATAAAAGGCTTTATCAAGAAAGTGGAAAGTGATATACTCGTTCAGAATGGACAGGTTCAGGATAAACGTAGAGAGCTGTGTCTAAAATCTGCATGGGAGGAGGATCTGTGTGTGGCTCTAGACGCACAAAGAAGGTTAAATATTTGGTGTTAGATGACAGAATGAAATGTTTGGACTTTACCCAATGTACAGTAATGAATGCCGTCAACACTCGAGTTAGGTAGAAATATAGTGAAAGTAGGATATTCACCAGAGCAGGTTCAGTCATGCATGTAATGGAATAGATAGGGGAGAAATGGAATTCCGAAGAGACGCTAGAAGGCTACTGCAGTAATCCAAGCATGAGGTAGTGATGGTCTAACATGATGGCAGTGAGAATGGAGATGAAATGCTTATTCTGGGAAATATGTGAAGTAAAATGTTTTAAAGTACATGAAATACTGACAAAAAGGGTTGAAAGGAAGAGCCAAGCAAAAGTTCTGCTGCTTCCACCTCAGAGACTAGAAGTGTAATGGAACTATAACAGAAATCTGAGAGCTGAGGCGGGAAAAGAGAGCTGGTGAGGAGGTAAATGGGTTCAGCGGATATGACAGTGAGCTATCCAAAGGAAGCTGCCCTGCAACCAGCTAAAGCCCAGAACTAACGATCAAGACTAGAGATTTAGATGCCTGACAACATTTTTTTTTCTGAGACCCATGAAAGGGACGCCTGGAGCTCATTCTCTCCAAAAAACTCTCCCAAGAATACTCAAAGTGGTTTGACAGATTACTTTATCCTGTCCTGGACACAGGATTCTCTCCCATTATTGTAAGAAACAATGGGATTCACAACAAAGAACCATCTGAAGGGAAATTTATACTCTTAGATCTTTATAAGTAATCCTGGGAGAAAGATGATAGAAGTGTTAACTGGCATATCGATACCCTCAACACTAGAACATTATGCCTGGTCTGGCGTCATGTTCATAATTTCTTCCCATTCTCCTCCTCCACATAACCACATACTTTCCTTTAACAAGTACATTATATAAATACATCATTATCCATAGATTCAGCCTCTCAACAACTGTCTGGATCAGCATATAGCACCCAGGGTACTTAAAATGTGCAACAAAATACCTAAGATATACCTTCTATGAAAAAAACAGATTGTTGAAAGGGCTTAGATAAAGAAAAGCAGATCCACGTATGAATTCCAAGGTCATAGATTAATTCAGTTGGTTATAACACGTAGAAAAAGGCAAAGGTCGTTTATTGAACCACAATCTTGATATCACAGCATTTATTAAAAGGTCTTATAATAAAACACCAAAGAAACATTTCTGAGGCAATAATGACATCTGAAGGTCACCAATAGCCAGTAACAAGATGGAGTGTCGTAGGAGAGTGAACAGACTTTAGGATGCATTAGTCTTCTTGGTGAGCTTCTGAGCAGCTCGTTTCCTGGCACACTATGACAGGGGCAAGTAGATGGTTGTGAATCAACTTTCTGCAAACACATGTGCCAAACATTCTGCTTAAATGCAACACATCTAGACCACAATTTCCCATTTCTATTGACAAAGCAGCACACTGATGGTCCTCCATCATCAAGCTCCAATCTACCTTACAGTCTTAAACATTGTGTTCTCTCTGGCACTCACCTTCTATCGGGGCCATATGGGACCATTCCATACGTTATGCATGTGCCCCACAATTTCCTCTTCTGTCACTTTATTTACATTATCTCTTCTATCTTGAATTCACTTCCCATTCCTCCCATTTCTGTCAAAACCCTACTTATCTTTAATTCCAGACTGTCACATTCTCCTTGATAGTAATCTCTGCTATTTTGTGATCCCCACAGTATTTCCTTTAGATCTTATGAAATTTTTATTTATATTCCAGTTATTTATTTACTTATCTCCTCTACTAGAATCTATGACAAGAAAAATATTTAGTTTAATTGTACATATCACCCAAAATGCTAAACTTTGTGACATTTGGCCCCATACTGAAGTGCTTTTTTATTCTTTCACCCTGTCTTCTTTTTCCATTATTTCTAAGTCTTTTATTCTCTCTTTGTTTCCCATTACATGATTCCATTCAGCCTTAAATGCCACTCCTGGCTGCTGTGTATCACATAAAAAAAAAAAACCTCCTCTACCTGACTTCCAAGTTCTTCCGAAATCTGAATTCACCTTTTCTGTTCGGCCTCATTTCTTCCTACTCCAAGCAGGCAAGTCTCTTCACAAATCCAGGAGGTTATGTTCATTTCAGTTAGGGTAAGAAGCCAGATAAAAGGGACCAAATACTACAACAGGCTTGGTAAGGTAAATTGGTCTAACTGGGATTCCTTCCTACCTTAGCAGGCTTGCCATCCGGGCTGCTGCCCTTCTATGCCCTGACAGCTGGTCAAGCCACTGCTTTGTCCTTTCCTGGGGATTTCCTCATCCTTAACTACTTACCATATTGGACATCTCTCTTGCCTTCAACACAGTCTCTGGACTTCCTGACTAGTTTTGCTCCAATACTTTGCTCCATATTGCCATTCCTGGGCGTTTTCTCTCCTCTAAGCTATTTATCTGGCTCTGGTTCCATTCTCTGCCTTAACTTCCAGCTTCCCCACCAGCCAAATCCATCACATCCACGGTTGAGCTCTCATCTGTCCTCCCTTTGCTGCCTTAGTTCTCTCTGAATCAGCATCTATGCCATTTCAGTCAATCCCAAAGTCTCAAGTTGTAACAATTCCAACTTTCCACAGTTCCCATCTCTGTAGCTTTGCCCATGCTATGGGCTGGATTGTGTCCCCAAAAAAGATATGTTGAAGTCCTAGTCCTCATCACCTCAGAGTGTGATCTTATTTGGGAATAGGATTGTTGCAGATATAATTAGCTAAGATGAGATCATACTGGAGTAGAGTGGGCCCTTAATCCAATATGACCAGTGCCCTTATAAAAATGGGAAACTTGAATATACACACACACAGGGAGAATGCCATGTGGTGACGGAGGCAGATACTGGAGTGATGAAGCTATAAGTCAAGGAACGCCAAGGATCGATGGTAGTCACCAAAAGCTAGGAAAGAGGCATAGAACAGATTCTTCCTCAGAGCCCTCAAAAGGAACAAACCCTGTCAACAACTTGATTTTGGACTTCTAGCCTCCAGAAGTATGAGAAAAAAAAACAGAAAAGAAAAAAATGTCTTTTGGTATTAGGACCTTTAGACAAACCAAAAGAGTAACTCTCAAGAACATCACAGATTATTCCAGCCTATTAATCATAGGATGGCTACAGAGATAAATGTGGAAGTGCCCCATGCCAAGCATCACATGCCGCAAGCATCCTTTCTATATCTGATACAGATCTGCTATTTCATGTCATGGACTTCACTCAGAAGGCTGCATTTTGTATTCATTCATTCTCAATGTGAAAAAGGACAGATATGGTGTGTGCAATGCATTTTATAATCATAATGTTCAGCTAATGATCAAGAAACACAGCCCTAAAGTAAATACTCAGATGGTTGCACAATCTTTAATCTGGTATTTATAACCTTCTTTCTTCCCAAACATGGCTCTAGAGACTTTGTCCTTATTTTAAATACTGTTTCACGCACATGGATGACTTTTTATTGTAGATCCTAGATAACCTTTTGGAATTGTGAGAAGAGAAAGACAGACAGAGGGCAAGAAACAGAGGCAGTAACAGAGTCAGAGAGGACTAGTAACTAAGTAGCGTTGCCAGATAAAAGACAAATACACTTTCAGTATAAGTAAGTTCCAAGTGTTGTATGGGATATACTTATACTAAAAACTTCTTCATTGTTTATCTGAAATTGAAAGTTAAATGGGCAGCCTGTACTTCTATTTGCTGAATCTGTCAACCCAACGAAATTTTCCAGCTCTTCCTCTCCCAAAGCTACACTGTCATACAAGCATGGATACAGGATTAATTTTCCTGAGCCACCAATAGGTGCAATGCAAACAATTCTCTGGGAATTACAAATAGAAAAAAAGAAAACTATCCCATGGCATAAACTTTTAAATGAAAACAAGATCCACAACTCAAACCTTTGTTGGTGGCTGGTCAGGGATGCAGTTTATCCGTTCCAATTCATTCACCACTGGGCACTCTGCAGAAGCAGGGACGGTAGTTGTTGTCTCATGATCTGGGATAGCTGTCGAACTAGGATTGAGGGTAACTGTCGTCCCAGGATCTGGGGTCACTGTCGTCCCAGGATCTGGAATTATCCCAAAAGCAAACATAAAGGGACCACCAGACAGCTTTAACATCACAGCTATTCAATATCTCCCTAGTTCTCAACATTCCAGTTACACGGACTCCACTACTGATTGGGTTCACTCTGATGTCCTTGAAATGTAAGCATCCACTTTATAAAGCCTCATTTTGTTCTTGCTGACTATGCTTATCTTTGTGTATACCTGCATCATCCCCTTCTACCACCAAGGCCTTCCTCTATCAGATAGTGCACACAAGGGCAAGGTGTTTGACTCCACCATTAGATTGGAAACTCACCCAGGTGGGAACCAAATCTACCTTCTCTAGTCCAGGGGTCAGAAAACTTTGGCCTGTGGGTCAAATCAGGTCACAGTATGGTTTTTAAATAAAGCATTGCTGGAACACAGCCACTTCCAGTTTTTTAATGTATTTTCTAGAGCTGCTTTTGAGCTATAAAGGCAGAATTAAGTAGTTAGGACAGAGACTGTATGGCCCACAAAATCTAAAGTATTAAGTATCTGGCCCTTTCCAGAAAATCTGCAGACTCTTCTTTGGTCCCTTACTTCCACCTCCAGTAGCTGGTTCACAATACGTTTACACATAGAACATGTGCAGTATATGCTGTTGTCATGAATGTTGACACCCTAATCATAATAACCTCAGTTCTACTTGTTCAGCCAACAGGCAATCCCTCAGCAAGGAATGCTTATGACTGATGGCATTCTTATGTAAATGTAAAGCTTCATATGACAAAATAAAGGGAGGCCACCAACCTAGAAACTGGCAGCTAGAATCTACCCCAGGACTTTGAGATTTAAAAATCAGTAAAATAAAAAAGGCATGTTTATGGCATTCTAAAATGAGGAAGTGAGATTTCTTTAAGGCACTCTACAATAACTTAACAGCAACATTAAGACAAAACAATGAGGCTTTTAATAAGTTTTCTTTTCATTAGTGTTCCCAATCCAAAAGTGATAGATTAAAAGAACTCCATATTTGTGTCAGTTTCTACATAAGGGTTTTAGTTCCATCTTCAGAATCATAGAATTTTATGAGTTGAACAATCTTTGAGATTATTTAATGTAACTTGCCACAAAAGTAGAAAGCGCATGCCTGGAAATGAGGTAGGAGGGGCAGTTTTTCCTCTCGCCACAAGCTGCCCTTCACTGCCTGCTTCCCCTAGGGAGCTTCTCCTAGGTGATGCCCAGATAGGAAATCACAGATAACCCAGTATAATGCAGCCCTAGTTTAGAATAAAACAGTTCAACAAACTTTTAATAAATAACTCTGGTAGTTGTTACCCTTTTAAAGAACCAAACTTTGGCCTAAAATACTTTAATTGATTATATACTTATTTGACTGCCTTTCAAATAAGGGTACTGTTAATTGTTATTGTTAACAAAATTAGAATTATTCAATGAAATTGGGCAAATATATTTCCAGTGTCAATTGTGGAATCCTGCACTGTGTTAATTGGGAAACAAAAGTGTCAGAATTTGGGCCTGTAACAAATACCCATGGAGCTGCCACAGTTTTAGTTAGGCGTTCCCCAACACACACACAACCACCACACACAGGCGCACACACACACTCACAGGGATGAACATGAAAGCATCACCTCCCTGCCACTTCTGAAGTTTTTGCTCTAATAAGACAACATAGGGAAGGAGAGCACTAGAGTTCCTTGTTACCTTCTGATCCCAAAGAATCTCTAGCTGACAGCACAAATATAGGAATAGTGATGATAAATAACACAAGCAGAAGTGCGCTGAGCATAAGCTCCAAAGTAGTGAAATTTTTCCACTTCTTTCTTGCCATCTACAAAAAAGAGACAACAATTTTAGAGTTGAGTTTAATAAATACCCAGTAAGTTTTTTAATGGAAAATCTCAAATGTATACGTGAGTGGAATGAATAATATAACAAGCCCCCCCATATAACCATCATCAGAAGACATATAAAATCTAGGAGATTCTCTCTTTTTTGTGTGTTAACAGCCATTGGTGAGTATTTCTTAGATCCATTATTCCATTAGGAGTTGTGACATACTGATACCATAATTCTATCATTCTTTATTCATTTATTGGATGAAACATTCCTATAGAGAGGCACTTCCCTTCATCTATTATTTGGTTCATAAAGGCACAGTTCATATAGGAAAGATAAGAGAAATGACAGCTATTAAAGCAGACACCACTGGGACTGTCAGTGTTACCCAGGACTCTGTGCAGGCTTCCTTAGTCTTCTACCAGGAAGGCACAGACCACATTTAAAGTCTTGTCCAGACACTGAGTTAACCACCATGCACAAGCTCAAATGAGGATTACGCCTCACATGCAGTCCTTTCTGGAAATCTTCCTCAGCACTTCCACTTTAGGACTCTGTCTTTTGCTAGGGACAATTCTGATGCTAGACTGAGGTGAGGCACTACCCTCCATCAGTAGCAAGTAACAAATTCCCCACCACTCACTCATGTCCTTTCCACAGTTGCCCCAGATACCACTGCATTTAGCAGCCCCCTCCTCTGACTCCTCTACTGTCATTCTTCAGAAAGCTTGTCCTTTGCATTCAGCATTCTGTATTCTCTCTCAAACATTAAATAAAATATATCCATTGGTCACTTGTACTAAATTCCCATAGCATTTTTTTTAGATAATGCTTACTGTCTCTGGAAGGGAAAACTTGACATTTCGTGCCATTGGCTTAGCTAAGTTGTGAGAACCCCAGGGATACCCTGTCTATTAACATAGAATAGCATCATCCTATGCTGATTGCATTCTGTATTCACATCATTGAGATATGGGGATGGCCAGGCTAATTTTTCCATTGTACAGATGAAAGGACTGAGGTACTGTGTGCTTTAATGACACTCACCCAGAGCTGAGGATAAGTCAATAGGACAATTAAGGGTCCTGATTTCCACTTTAGGGATTCTCCTCCTGACGGCACTGCCTGTTAGGTAAGTGCACACTCTGCCTTTCACCTTTTGTGTGAGACATATATCTATGGACACAAATATAGCACTTCTCCAAAAGCATGAGAAAATATGTAGAGCCATACTATAATGCAGAAATCTGCCACTCAATAGGGAGTGAAGCCTACAGCAAGCTACAATCAATACAAAATGCCAGAATAGAGGGAGAAATTTCTCAAAGAGCTATATAAAATTTTATATAGAAGAAGTAAAACAAATCCATTGTCAAGTTGGGTGGTGTGTTGGAATGATCTCTAAAATGAGTTTCATGATCTAATTAGCTTCTTGTATCCCCTTAAGTTATAGGAGAGTTATCACTGTCAGTCTAAGAGCCTGCAATAGAGATTCCCTCCACTCTGTGGGCAGCTGGGCAGGGCCAGGCGGAGTCCAGGGCCAGTCTTCTGCTGAGTTGCCTCCTCTGGAAAACCAGATCTCTTTCAACTAGCTTAGTGATGCTAACATGGTTTTCTTTGTGCTCTATGAAGTGAAAAATGTTGGGAAGAGCTCCACAATGCCTCACTGGAAGCAACCTGGCGGGCGCTCTTAATGAGTATTTGTTGATTTGGGAGCAAGACTGAGCGGAAACACCAGCACAAGATTCCTTTGTGTCATATGTGCACTGCAGTGTCCTCATTCCTCTTTCCCAAGAGGTAAGGGGAGGACGAAATGTAAAACAGTGTGCCTTCATCCCAGGAACCTCTCCAGTAACCACAGGAGTACAAGTGAAAAAGAAAGAAAAAAGAAAATTTAGATTTAAAAAATAATATAAATCAGAGGGCAGATTTTTGTTTTATTTATTTTACAAAAGGATCCATGTCAAGATTTCTTTAAATTAATCATTTTTGAAGTATGAAGGAGAGGTACATCACTTTCTCCAGGGACTTTTTTTTCAGAATATATAGCCACCTCCCTCTCCATATGACCTTGGCAACCATTGTTCAAAGAGTAATAGCCTTCACATGAGTTGTAACACTCAAAGAAAGAGTTGAAAACCATCTTTTTATAAATAGAATATACAGTAGTAAATGCACTTTCTAGAAAACAATAGTTTTCACAGCCCCTTTATAAGCCCAACCACAGCTGAACACTGGCCCACACCCCTCTCCTCCTCTCTCTACTCTCACACTCCTAGCTCAGGGCTTGGTGGTCTCTCTGGGCAGAACTGCCCCCAAAATTCCACCACAGACCTCCTTCCACAGGCTGATTGTGAGCTGAGATCATCGCTGCTCTGATATACCCAGCACAATGGGCCTGTCTGCTTTTCTTTTTCCATATTGTTACAGACTGTTTCATTTGGTACATCTTTATTAGAATGTCAATGGAAGTTTGGAAAGGAAAAAAGGTAAAATCCTGTGATCAGTCTGCCATCTTGAACCCTTCAATGTAGGTTTTAAAAGTTTCCCAAATGACTTTGATATTCAATTTCCCTCCACTGCTGTTTGAGAACCACTTTGGGAATTTTGAGTTCATCAGTGGATGTAATAATACTGTACAACATTATCCTATGGAGGGGTAGGTATAAATTGAGGACAGTGAAATAAGGAAGTAAGAGACATGTGTGGGCCCTTGTGAAAGTTTTCAACCCATCGAAGCGTCCCTCTCAACACCTCTAGTATATCAATGCACCCTCTCTAATCCCAGCTCATTTTTAACCAAGGATAAGTTTTCCTAAGGTTTTTTCCCCAAAGGTGTGTCTACTTCCTTAGGTTTATAACACCCCTTTTCTCCATCAAATTGTGAGCTCCCAGGGTATGAGAATTATGTCTGCTTCTTCCTCTTTATTGCCTTTCTAAGCACCTGTTGGCAGAATCTGCATAATCTATACATATTGACCAATAACGTTTTACACCCTGGTTGAATATTTGAAAAATACCCAAATATTTCCTAATTATAGTATATCATAAATGTGTTTTAGAGGATAAAACAATGGTACCTTCCTTAAGTGAACATAAAGCCCAATCCTGTTATTTCCTTCCACACAATCAAAGCAATGTATGGTAGAAAGAGTATTCTTTCTTGTGATTCAGAAGACCTGAATTTTATTCCCCATTCTGAAAACAACTAGCCAGATGACCTTGGGAAGTTTACTTAAGCTTTCCAATTCTCAGTTTCCTCACTTACAAATTAAAGAGATCGAACTAGAAGATCTATAAAATTCATACCAGCTTTTAATATGTCATTTTGGAGTGAGTCACACAAATTTCTTGCTTCTTTACTCCTCCCTTTCACAAAAGATGCCTGTGCTAAACATTTTATTAGCATTTTTGTGCTTCATCATATCTCTGAGTTCTTCTGCTCGGAACAAGAGCACGCTAAATTGAGCTGGGTTCCCAGCCCCGCCATTTTTTGCTGTGGTAGCCAAATGAATTTACTTCACATTCTTGAGCCTCAGTTTTCTTATCTAAAATGAAACTAATGATATCTATTAATAATAATAATTATCATCTTCTTCCTGTGAGAATCAAATAAAAGTACTTTAAATATTAAAGGATAAAATGGTGCTGGGTAAACTGGACAGCCACATGTAAAAGAATGAAAATTGACGATTCTTTTTCACCATCACAAAAATAAACTCAAAATGGATCAAAGACCTAAAGATTAGACCTCAAACAATAAGTCTTCTAGAAGAGAATATAGGCAGTACACTCTTTGACATCAGTTTCAAAAGAATCTTCTCGGACACCATAACTCCTCAGATGAGGGAAACAATAGAAAGAATAAACAAATGGAACTTTATCAGACTAAAGAGCTTCTTCAAGTCAAGGGAAAACAGGATTGAAACAAAAAAACAATCCACCAGTTGGGAAAAAATATTTACAAGTTATTTATCCGGCAAAGGGTTAATCTCCATAATACATAAAGAACTCACACAGCTCAACAACAAAAAATCAAACAATCCGATCAAAAAATGGGCAGGAGACATGAACAGACATTTCTCCAAAGAAGATATACGGATGGCCAATAGACATATGAAAAGATGCTCATCATCACTAATCATCAGGGAAATGCAAATCAAAACTACACTAAGATATCACCTTATACCTGTTAGAGTGGCAAAAATATCCAAAACAAAAAGTGACAAATGTTGGAGAGGTTGTGGAGAAAAAGGAACCCTCATACACTGCTGGTGGGAATGCAAACTGGTGCAGCCATTATGGAAAACAGTATGGAGATTTCTCAAAAAATTAAAAATAGAAATGCCCTATGACCCAGCCGTCCGACTACTGGGTATATATCCAAAGAACTTGAAATCAGCAATTCCAAAAGTCCTATGCACCCCTATGTTCATTGCAGCATTATTTACAACAGCCAAGACATGGAAGCAACCTAAGTGCCCATCAACTGATGACTGGATAAAGAAGATATGGTATATATATAATGGAATACTACTCAGCCATAGAAAAAGACAAAATCGTCCCATTCACAACAACATAGATGGACCTTGAAGTATGTTAAGTGAAATAAGCCAGAGAGAGAAAGACGAACTCTGTATGACTCCACTCACAGGTGGAAGTTAAACATAGAGACAAAGTGAACTGATTGGTGGTCACCAGGGGAAAGGGGGGCTGGGGGCAGGGCTCAAAGGGTGAAGTGGTGCACCTACAACATGACTAATAATGTACAACTGAAATTTCACAAGGTTGTAAACTACCATAATATTAATAAAAAGTTAAAAAAAATACAGGACAAATGCCAACTTTTGCAGACTGCAAAAAAAAAAAATATTAAAGGATAACGTATCATGATATTATTATTTACCATAGAGAGGATATTCATGGATCCTGGGTAAGAAACAGCACATCCCTAAGAAATCTATCAATCTCACTGTCCATGAGCTTGGCACT